CACGTCTGCGACCACAATCCGGACAAAAAGTCCAGGAGCCTTCCACAAGCCACAAGGCGTTCGAATCTCTCTTGTCCACGCTGGTTTGCTTCATGTCAAGTACCGGCAAGCGTACTCCGAAATTCAAGCTGTACTCCTCTGCCCAAGTCTCGTGCAACCTGTTCCTTGAGGACCGATCCGCTTGAGAATCTGGTTCAGCTTCGGAAGTTTTTTGAGGAGGCAACGGAACGCGGCCAAGCCAACGACGAAGCGTGCTCTGAGGCACCGTCGACGGTGCGGGCCCAGCAGCTTCCTCTGTCAAAGCCGCCAACACCGTCGCGGTCGAACCAGATGTGAGAGCTTCGACCACGGCGTTGCGCTGCTGTGTCGGAAGCTTTCCGAGAGCAGTGTTCCAAGATGGACGTCGCCCGAAGCCACATGTGTCGGCAGATCCGGAGGCTTGTGATTGGGTCGCTCGGATTGCCGCCAATTCCGGCCGCCGAAACCAATTCAAAAGAGTGTTTCGATGAAGTCGGTACTCGGAACTACGTCGAGTTAGCGTAAAATGTGGAATTTGCCGCCGGATAGAAGCTAAAGCCGCCGCGAAAGTTTCGCTCGTCCGCAAGGCTTCTAGGATGATGTTCCGGTCTTCTTCCGTGTAGTTGCCGAAGTTGCCGGAGATTGCCTTGCCACCATGCTGCGGCTCACCATGCTGCGACCCAACCTTCGAGCCTGGTTCCGTGCGGACTCGCTTGGCTGGCGCTTGCGATGGCGCTTGCTCAAGAAGCCGACTGTCTCCCTGCGTACCTGCGCCCGGATTGCCGCCCGATTTCCGTCCAGGCGCGGTCCCGACCACGACAACATCACTGTCATCAGAGTCCTCGGACGGATCCAAGTCAATGGCAGGTCGCTTCATCGGCAGCACAGGAACAGGAAGCACACCCTCCAGGCGAGCGTAGCAAACGATGTAAGTCTTTTCTCTTGCACTCGTAGGCATCTGACCCGGGTTGTGATCGATTTCGGAAACTCGTGCATCGTCCAACCTGACAAAGTTCCTCTCGTTAGGTCGATAAGTCACATAGTGACCGCTGGATGCTGTTTCTCCTAGATGACAAACAACTGCACGAAGTGTATACCGGACATCTTCCTTTACTCGAAGCTCTTTGTCCACGAACACCTCGTGGTTGAGAAGTCCATGCAGCACGTCCCATCTCTTCAGCTGGATGATCAAGTTCTCGGGCCATGCTTCCACCTGGCTAGAGCGACGAGGGGCATGACGAGCTGTTCCGGCTTCGATGCAAGTCGGATTCTCACACTCCCAATGAACGATGTCCTCTTGCAAGATGTTCTGGGCAAGATAGGAATCCACCGCTGCCTGCACCGAACAAAGTCGCCGATCATCATCCAGAAGAGCGAGCTGCAGCGTCAGGAAGTTCTCCGCCGGAAGAGGCCGACGATAATCGCAGAATGCACACCCGAGATGACCTCGTTCCCTGCCTTGAAGTTTCGCGTGAACCGTCGGACAGTCCGCGACCAGCTCGCCCAGGAACTCCATGCAATCTTCCTGGCGCCCCTGGTAATACAAATCATTGACGGCTTGCGGAGTGCTCGCACCCACCAACGCCAATGCCGAAGACCACACCTCCAACAAAGCTCTTTCTGTTGCCGTCGTCGGTCGCAACGACTCGAACCCAGGAAGAGCAAGAACCGCCTGCAGCCCGGCGTTGATGAAGCAGCTGTTCCCGACATTGATCAACTTCATGTCGAAGGCCATAGCAATTACCGAGGTTAAGAGCAATGGTTGCTTGTAGCACAGAAAAGTCTGCCGCATACATATGTTTTCTAACAATGCTGCATGGACATGCATCGAGCAACAACGAGTTAACTCTTTGAAATTCTGCTCGCTGATTGCCAATCGAAAACCACCGCCTCTCGACGTGACTTACGCACATCTTAGACTCGACTCAACATAAGCATCTCTGTAGTCACTCAAAAACGTTGCCTAGGACCGAGTGTCTGGAACTATGCAACTCGCGCTTTCGCGATCACCCGAAAGCCGCTCAGGCATTGAAGAGGCCAGTACCATCCGAGGACGCTGCCTTGCTGCCCTGAGTCTGATCCGGTTTAGTCATTCGGGCTTTCACTGCCTCAATGAAATCTTGCTCGGTCATCGGCTTCACCTTGACCGCTGCTCGAGCCACAAGCTCGGCGGTGTGCCCGCTGTAGTAAGAGTTGTTGCCCGAGAGGATGAACAGCAGGCTTCGAAACGGTGATCTTTCCTTGACCAGCCAGGTTCTGAAGTCGCCCGCAGCTTTCAAAGGATCCATGTTGCCGGAATTCTCGGTGACGTTGCCGGAAACCGTGAGCTTGGCCTTTTTAGCTTCTCGGAATGACCCAGTGTCGCGGGTAGCAGCGGAGCCTCTGCCGAAGTTGAGGGCCAGTAGAACAGGCTCCAACATCGTCACCTCTTCGAGCACCTTTTCATAGAGGTCGGGCCGAATCAAGTTCTTCATGTCTTCGCCTTTGAAGTTCTTGATTGCGGCAAGCAAGGCCGCAGAGGTCATGGAAATGCCGGCTCCAACATGCCAGCCGTCGGAGCTTTGATCAGCAGCCAAATGGCTGTGATAGGCCGTCCGTTTGTTGCCTTTAACCGTTCCTTGCCAAATTTGCTCTAGGGATAACGTGTCCAATGCGCCTTCGCCGTAAGGCTCCAGCATCTGGCTTGCGACGCTGTCATAGCCATACAACTTCGTGCGGCGCTCTTCCTCCTTGGGCGCGGCCGGAGCAGCAGCTTCGCCAAAGAGACCACCCGACATCTGGACAAGACACAAGGAAAGCGAAAGAAAGACTTTGCTTACAAAGAGCTTCGAGCTGACTCAAGGCGGCCAGCGATATCCGGTGTTTGTGTGAAGCAGGCATGCTCCAGCAGTGCAACGATTGAAGCACAGAAAAGACTGCCGCATACATATGTTTTCTAACAATGCTGCATGGACATGCATCGAGCAACAACGGGCTAACTCTTTGAAATTCTGCTCGCTGATTGCCAATCGACAACCACCGCCTCTCGACGTGACTTACGCACATCTTGGACTCGACTCAACATAAGCATCTCTGTAGTCACTCAAAAACGTTGCCTAGAACCGAATGTCTCACTATGCAAAGCTCGGATTGCCGCCAATTCCGGCCGCCGAAACCAAGCCAAAAGAGTGTTTCGATGAAGTCGGAACTGGCAATTAGGTCGAGTTAGCGTAAAATGTGGAATTTGCCGCTGGATAGAAGCTAAAGCCGCCGCGAAAGTTTCACTTGTCCGCAAGGCTTCTAGGATGATGTTCCGGCACTCTTCCGTGTAGTTGCCGAAGTTGTCGGACATTGCCTTGCCACCATGCTGCAACCCAACCTCCGAGCCTAGTTCCGTGCAAACTCGCTTGGCTGGCGCTTTCCCAAGAGGCTCACTATGCAAAGCTCGGATTGCCGCCAATTCCGGCCGCCGAAACCAAGCCAAAAGAGTGTTTCGATGAAGTCGGAACTGGCAATTAGCTCGAGTTAGCGTAAAATGTGGAATTTGCCGCTGGATAGAAGCTAAAGCCGCCGCGAAAGTTTCACTTGTCCGCAAGGCTTCTAGGATGATGTTCCGGCACTCTTCCGTGTAGTTGCCGAAGTTGTCGGACATTGCCTTGCCACCATGCTGCAACCCAACCTCCGAGCCTAGTTCCGTGCAAACTCGCTTGGCTGGCGCTTTCCCAAGAGGCTGACTGTCTCCCTGCGTGCCTGCGCCCGGATTGCCGCCCGATTTCGCTTCAGGCGCGGTCCCGGCCACGACAAAATCACTGTCATCAAAGTCCTCGGACGGATCCAAGTCAATGGCAGGTCGCTTCATCGGCAGCACAGGAACAGGAAGCACACCCTCCAGGCGAGCGTAGCAAACGATGTAAGTCTTTTCTCTTGCACTCGTAGGCATCTGACCCGGGTTGTGATCGATTTCGGAAACTCGTGCATCGTCCAACCTGACAAAGTTCCTCTCGTTAGGTCGATAAGTCACATAGTGACCGCTGGATGCTGTTTCTCCTAGATGACAAACAACTGCACCAAGTGTATACCGGACATCTTCCTTTACTCGAAGCTCTTTGTCCACGAACACCTCGTGGTTGAGAAGTCCATGCAGCACGTCCCATCTCTTCAGCTGGATGATCAAGTTCTCGGGCCATGCTTCCACCTGGCTAGAGCGACGAGGGGCATGACGAGCTGTTCCGGCTTCGATGCAAGTCGGATTCTCACACTCCCAATGAACGATGTCCTCTTGCAAGATGTTCTGGGCAAGATAGGAATCCACCGCTGCCTGCACCGAACAAAGCCGCCGATCATCATCCAGAAGAGCGAGCTGCAGCGTCAGGAAGTTCTCCGCCGGAAGAGGCCGACGATAATCGCAGAATGCACACCCGAGATGACCTCGTTCCCTGCCTTGAAGTTTCGTGTGAACCGTCGGACAGTCCGCGACCAGCTCGCCCAGGAACTCCATGCAATCTTCCTGGCGCCCCTGGTAGTACAAATCATTGACGGCTTGCGGAGTGCTCGCACCCACCAACGCCAATGCCGAAGACCACACCTCCAACAAAGCTCTTTCTGTTGCCGTCGTCGGTCGCAACGACTCGAACCCAGGAAGAGCAAGAACCGCCTGCAGCCCGGCGTTGATGAAGCAGCTGTTCCCGACATTGATCAACTTCATGTCGAAGGCCATAGCAATTACCGAGGTTAAGAGCAATGGTTGCTTGTAGCACAGAAAAGTCTGCCGCATACATATGTTTTCTAACAATGCTGCATGGACATGCATCGAGCAACAACGAGTTAACTCTTTGAAATTCTGCTCGCTGATTGCCAATCGAAAACCACCGCCTCTCGACGTGACTTACGCACATCTTGGACTCGACTCAACATAAGCATCTCTGTAGTCACTCAAAAACGTTGCCTAGGACCGAGTGTCTGGAACTATGCAACTCGCGCTTTCGCAATCACCCGAAAGCCGCTCAGGCATTGAAGAGGCCAGTACCATCCGAGGACGCTGCCTTGCTGCCCTGAGTCTGATCCGGTTTAGTCATTCGGGCTTTCACTGCCTCAATGAAATCTTGCTCGGTCATCGGCTTCACCTTGACCGCTGCTCGAGCCACAAGCTCGGCGGTGTGCCCGCTGTAGTAAGAGTTGTTGCCCGAGAGGATGAACAGCAGGCTTCGAAACGGTGATCTTTCCTTGACCAGCCAGGTTCTGAAGTCGCCCGCAGCTTTCAAAGGATCCATGTTGCCGGAATTCTCGGTGACGTTGCCGGAAACCGTGAGCTTGGCCTTTTTAGCTTCTCGGAATGACCCAGTGTCGCGGGTAGCAGCGGAGCCTCTGCCGAAGTTGAGGGCCAGTAGAACAGGCTCCAACATCGTCACCTCTTCGAGCACCTTTTCATAGAGGTCGGGCCGAATCAAGTTCTTCATGTCTTCGCCTTTGAAGTTCTTGATTGCGGCAAGCAAGGCCGCAGAGGTCATGGAAATGCCGGCTCCAACATGCCAGCCGTCGGAGCTTTGATCAGCAGCCAAATGGCTGTGATAGGCCGTCCGTTTGTTGCCTTTAACCGTTCCTTGCCAAATTTGCTCTAGGGATAACGTGTCCAATGCGCCTTCGCCGTAAGGCTCCAGCATCTGGCTTGCGACGCTATCATAGCCATACAACTTCGTGCGGCGCTCTTCCTCCTTGGGCGCGGCCGGAGCAGCAGCTTCGCCAAAGAGACCACCCGACATCTGGACAAGACACAAGGAAAGCGAAAGAAAGACTTTGCTTACAAAGAGCTTCGAGCTGACCCAAGGCGGCCAGCGATATCCGGTGTTTGTGTGAAGCAGGCATGCTCCAGCAGTGCAACGATTGAAGCACAGAAAAGATTGCCGCAGACACATGTTTTTTAACAATGCTGCAAGGACATGCATCGACCAACAAGCAGCTAACTTTTTGACATTCTGCTCGCTGATTGCCAATCGAAAACCACCGCCTCTCGATGCGACTTACACACACCTTGAACTCGACTCAACAAAAGCATCTCTGTAGTCACTCAAAAACCTTCAGCCATGTGACTCGATTCCAGGATCTACGTGAGACCACGATTGCAGCCAAAATTGAGCCGAGCACCCGACTTACGCAGGGACAGCTGACACTATCCATACCCTAAAAACGAAGTCACATCAGTACATGTTCCTCTGAATGTTTCTTCTGTCTAGCTCCGCTTGTAGGTGCCACGTGCTTTCCTTTTCGGACGCCCTGGATCCCGACGACGACGGGCTCGCTCAACTCGAGCTTCGAAATCCTTTGCCTTGACCTCGCCAACATCAGCTTTCAAGAAATCCAAGGCCTTCTCCAGAGCAGCTTGCTCCAGCCGACGAAGTGTGCTTGTGAGCTTGGCAGGCTCTTGTTCAGACCACTGCCTCAGCACCTTGGAATCGCACAGCCCGCAATAGCCCGAAGTCAAGGCTGTTGCTGCGGAGGAAGATTCTCCAAAGTTGCAGCCTGCAGCATCACGACCCGGGCAAACATCTTCACTGCATGGAGCTTCACGTTTACGGTACGGTCCACGAGCTGCTCGGCGCACTCGCGCTGGATTCTGGCGTTGGCGAGCTCGGTCAACTCTGGCACGGTACTCATTCGCAATTTCCACGCCGAGCGCGCTCTGCACATACTCGAAAGCCCTTCCACTAGCCGATGTATCGACATTCTTCAAGAGGTAAGTTAGTCGTCCAGGCAAAGACTCACTCAAGGTCGCGATCATCGTGGGATCACATAGATCGCAGAGCCCGCTGGGTGCCGCCATAGCCGGTGACGACATGTGCCCAAACACACACGGATGGCCGGGTTTACCTCGACATACACCGTGACCTTCGTGCGGGGCATACATCAGGTATTTGCCGCGAGCAGTTGGCTTCCTTTCAACCGTGGCTCGCTCTTGCTTCTCCCGCTTCACACGAACCTCGCCAAGTTCGTTCTTCGAAACAACAGCTTCGGGCTTCGCCATCTTCTTATCGGCACCATGCGCGTCCTCTGCCTGCGACACCGCCACCCTCGGAGCCGCAGTTTCGAGCTTAACTGTCCCTTGGTCGTCACACAGATCCACAATTGTCACCGAGGACTTCAAGCGCTGCTGGAAAGGCATGACTGTACACTAGTTTTGCTGGCGAATAAGCAAAGCTGGCTGCGCTGATGACAGGTCGAGCTGATCTGCAGCAAGCATTAGATTCCACACAGAACTGCTACGTCTGCTGAGGCTAGCGTCAGATCACCGTGCCTCTTCTGCAAGTAGAAGTTGGCAGCCACAAGCAAAGATTCCTGCACAATCGTTCAACCCCGCGATCCTACATTCCGAAGCAGAGTCGATAGCCTTCTGACCAATGCAAAGCTACATTGACTTCGTACTTCTCTCTTCACGCAGCCCTGCTTTCAGCAAAGTCTTCACACTGTCGCGATATTCCAAGTTTGTGTGCGCAATTGCACTCGCATGGCGCTCATACGTGCCGACTATAATGTAGTTTTCAGAGCTTCCATTGCTGTTGCTAAACCTTAAGATTTCTATGGTGTCAACACCGTTGCTGGCTTGTTTTAAGTAAAGCAAGTAAAATGGTGAAGGTGCTACTGTCACTAAACCCTAAAGTTCGTATGGTTGCAACACCGTTGCTTGCTTGTTTTAAGTAAAGCAAGTGAAAGTTTGAAGCTGCTGCTGTCGCTAAACCTTAAATTCGTATGGTTGCAACACCGTTGCTTGCTTGTTTGAAGTAAGGCAACGAAAAGCTTGAAGCTGCTGCTGTCGCTAAACCTTAAAATGCTCATGGTGTCAATACCGTTGCTTGCTTGTTTTATGTAAAGCAAGTGAAAAATTGAAGCTGCTGCTGTCGCTAACCCTTAAAATGCCTATGGTGTCGAGACCGTTGCATGCTTGTTTTCAGTCAAGCAAGTGAAAGATTGAAGCTGCTGCTGTCACTAAACCTTAAAATTTCTATGGTGTCGACACCGTTGCTTGCTTGTTTGAAGTATGGCAACGAAAAGCTTGAAGCTGCTGCTGTCGCTAAACCTTAAAACTCCTATGGTGTCAACACCGTTGCTTGCTTGTTTTAAGTAAAGCAAGTAAAAAATTGAAGCTGCTGCTATCAGCGAGGATAGAAAAAATGCAGGACAAGGACCCATGCTTGCAGTCAAAAAGTCACTGGCCAGTGGCTGAACGGTCATCGCAAAGAAACTTGACAGCTCCAGTTGCTGTCGCACAGCGATGGCGTGACCGCAGGATCAGCTGTTTGAAGATCCACGGTTGAAGGTGTGCTTGCCAGTGTGCCACGGCCAAGAGATGTGGTTCGAATGTTCTTAATCAGTTGCTCAATGCGTTGCCTTGACCATGCAATGCACTGTCGTAAAGCGATGGCGTGACCGCAGCCCCAGCTGGTGTAGGCAGTGCTTCTTTCTTATAAGACCCTTCATGATCTTAACGGTGGCCTACGGTCTACCGGTGTCCTCTAACGCGCGCGCCAGTGCGCGCGCGCGCGTTGTTAGAGACCGAGACTCTCGGGAGCGAAGCGACTCTCAGGCCTGGAGGTTCTCCGGCTTCAGGTCCTGTGGAGGTAGCCACGTTACGTTACCGCCCTAGGCTCCCTTTAAAGAGTCGCCACGAGGACTGCACTCTAAAAGGCTTTTTTTTTGATTTTTACATGTAAATAACACACTTCCAGCGAAGTTCGCTTTCGAACAGCCTTGGAAGCTCCAGCAAACTAAGCTCTTTGAAGCTGTCTCCAAGCTTCCTCTATATGGTTTTGCACGCTCTAAACCACTAACTCCTTCTTGAAGCTTTGAAAGCTTGTTAACTTGCTGAAATAGCTTAAAAATCAGCGAAAGCCTAGAAAAACAAAGAAAACTCCAGACTACGCTTACGTTTAAATGATATCTCTTGCATTTTCAGACAGGGTTTGATGCCCTCTATACCACTGAACTGGTGTTGAAACTTTCGAACGCTTCTAACTTCAAAAAATAGCAACTCTCGTTTGGAAAGATCGCGCTCGAAACGAAAAGTGTAAAGTTTCAGCATCTAGGAAGTACTTAAAGCTGATATGAAGGCATTTTCGAGCTGGATTTGATCCCGGTCAATATTTAACTTTGATTCCCGATGTCTAAATCCATGCTAACTGCAAATAATACAGACTAAACTTTGAAAATTTCGGTTTTCAGAACGTTTTTTAGTTTTTTTCGAATGTGCGCAGCCTTTTAAAAGCTATCTCTGGCATTTTTGGACAGAGCTTGAACCTATGAAACTTTTGGAATACCTCCCGCAGCTCGCAACGAATGTTCGCATAACTTCCGAGTCAAGTCGGCTAGATCCGGATCCCGGTTCCCGAAAAAAAAAATCCAAAACCCTACAAGTTAAGGGTTTGAAAATTTTTTTTTGGATAACTTCGTTTTTTTATTAAAACGAACGCGGATTCAGATAGAGGGGATCAAACCATATATACTTGTATGGTCGCCAGGTCTTTAAACGGCAGAAAAAAAAATTCGACCTCCTCAGATCCACGAAATTAGCTATTTTCAGTGGTTTGCTACACGAAATCGATCTAAAACGCGGCTATTTGGCTTAGTTAGATCATTTCATGTAGGGGGATATGGATAACAGCTGAAACGGAGCAAGTCGTCAAAATCCGACTTCCCTGATTTGAGCTTTTTTCAGGTTTCAGCCTCATTTGCCTTGCTAGTAAGTTTAGAAAGCTTCAAGAAGGAGTTAGTGGTTTAGAGCGTGCAAAACCATATAGAGGAAGCTTAGAGACAGCTCCCAAGAGCTTAGTTTGCTAAGGCTTCCAATGGTGTCCGAAAGCGAACTTCGCTGGAACTGTGTTATTTACATGTAAAATCAAAAAAAAAGCCTTTTAGAGTGCAGTCCTCGTGGCGACTCTTTAAAGGGAGCCTAGGGCGGTAACGTAACGTGGCTACCCCTAGGGGACTTGAAGCCGGAGAGCTTCCAGGCCTGAGAGGCGCTTCGCTCCCGAGAGTCTCGGTCTCTAACAACGCGCGCGCGCGCGCACTGGCGCGCGCGTTAGAGGACACCGGAAAGCAGAGCATGAGCATCGCTTATTGGGGGGTAGTCACACCAAGCAGTCCCAGGAAAGCCAAGTCCTAGCTTAAGGAACCTGGCACATGTTCATTGAAAATACCAAAGCAACAAAGACATCATGCCGACAGCCGCCACCATGCCCTGCCTCGGCGCCACGGATGAAAGGTCTTATAAGAAACAAGCACTACCCACAGCAGCTGAGGCTGCGGTCACGCCATCGCTTTACGACAGCTAGCAGAGCTGTTACATCAAGTTTCTTTGCGATGACCGTTCAACCACTGGCCAGTGACGTTGCCGTTTGACAGGCAAGCATGTGTCCTTCTCCTGCATTTGTTGTGGCCTCGTTCACAGCAGCAACTTCAATCTTTTGCTTGCTTTACTTAAAACAAGCAGGCAACGGTGTTGAAATCATAAGAATTTTAGGGTTTAGCGACGGTAGCAACTTTAATTTTTTACTTGCTGTAATTAAAACAAGCAGCCAACGGTGTTGACATCATAGGAATTTTAGGGTTTAACGACAGCAGCCCACAACCCACAGCAGCTGAGGCTGCGGTCACGCCATCGCTTTACGACAGCTAGCAGAGCTGGTACATCAAGTTTCCCTGCGATGGCCGTTCAGCAACTGGCCAGTGACCTTGGCGTCCGACAGGAGCAATCATAGGTCTTTTCCCTTCATTTTATGTGTCCTCGTTCACATAGCAGAAGCCACCGCAAACGATTTTTTGAATTGATTTACTTAAAACAAGCAAACAACGGTGTTGACACCACAGGAATTTTAAGGTTTAGCGACAGTAGCCACTTAATTTTTTTACTTGCTTTACTTAAAACAAGCAAGCAACGGTGTTGACACCGTAATAATTTTAGGGTTTAGCGACAGCAGCAACTTCGATTTTTTACTTGCTTTACTTAAAACGAGCAAGCAACGGTGTTGACACCATGGGAATTTTAAGGTTTAGCGACAGCAGCAATTTCAATTCTTTACTTGCTTAGCAAGCAACGATGTTGACACCATAGAAAATTTAGGTTTTAGCGACAGCTTCAAGATGATGAAAGGTCTTATAAGAAACAAGCACTACCCACAGCAGCTGAGGCTGCGGTCACGCCATCGCTTTACGACAGCTAACAGAGCTGTTACATCAAGTTTCTTTGCGATGACCGTTCAGCCACTGGCCAGTGACGTTGCCGTTTGACGACCGCAAGCATGTGTCCTTGTCCTGCATTTGTTGTGGCCTCGTTCACAGCATCAACTTCAATCTTTTGCTTGCTTTACTTAAAACAAGCAGGCAACGGTGTTGACACCATAAGAATTTTAGGGTTTAGCGACGGTAGCAACTTCAATTTTTTACTTCCTGTAAGTAAAACAAGCAGACAACGGTGTTGACATCATAGGAATTTTAGGGTTTAACGACAGCAACCCACAGCACTACCCACAGCAGCTGAGGCTGCGGTCACGCCATCGCTTTACGACAGCTAACAGAGCTGTTACATCAAGTTTCTTTGCGATGACCGTTCAGCCACTGGCCAGTGACGTTGCCGTTTGACGACCGCAAGCATGTGTCCTTGTCCTGAGTTTGTTGTGGGCTCGTTCACAGCAGCAACTTCAATCTTTTGCTTGCTTTACTTAAAACAAGCAGGCAACGGTGTTGACACCATAAGAATTTTAGGGTTTAGCGACGGTAGCAACTTCAATTTTTGACTTCCTGTGAGTAAAACAAGCAGACAACGGTGTTGACATCATAGGAATTTTAGGGTTTAACGACAGCAACCCACAGCACTACCCACAGCAGCTGAGGCTGCGGTCACGCCATCGCTTTACGACAGCTAGCAGAGCTGTTACATCAAGTTTCTTTGCGATGACCGTTCAGCCACTGGCCAGTGACGTTGCCGTTTGACCACCGCAAGCATGTGTCCTTGTCCTGCATTTGTTGTGGCCTCGTTCACAGCAGCAACTTCATTCTTTGGCTTGCTTTACTTAAAACAAGCAGGCAACGGTGTTGACACCATGAGAATTTTAGGGTTTAGCGACGGTAGCAACTCTAATTTTTTACTTGCTGTACTTAAAACAAGCAGGC